TCCTTTTCTGCTAGGCTGCTTTCCAGCCACTCTTCCTCCACTCTGTAGTGCTGCATGGGGTTGTTGTGACCCAAGTGCAGGACCCGGCACTTGGCCTTGTTGAACCTCATACAGTTGGCCTCAGCCCATTGATCTAGCCTGTCCAGATTCCTCTGTGGAGCCTTCCTACCCTCCAGCAGATAAACAGTCCCATGCAACTTGGCATTGTCCATGAACTGAGGGTGCACTTGATCCCCCTATCTAGATCACTGCTAAAGATATTAAACAGGGCTGGCCTCAACGCACCACTAGTGATGAGCTGCCAACTGCATGCAGCACTATTCATCACCACAATCTGGGCCTGGCCATCCAGCCAATTTTAGACCCAACAAAGAGTGCACCTGTCCAAGCCCTGGGTACCAGCTTATCCAGAATGCTGTGGGAGATGGTACCAAAGGCTTTGCTGAAGTTCAGGTAGCCAACATCCACAGCTTTTCCCTCATCTACTAGGCAGGTCACCTGGTCAGAGAAGGAGATCAGGTTGGTCAGGCAGGACGTGTCATTCCTAAACCCATGCTGGCTGGGTCTCAGGTGTATGTGCCATGTGATCGCACTCAAGATGATCTGCTCCATTACCTTGCTGGGCACCGAGGTCAGGCTGACAGGCCTTTCATTCTCTGGATCCTCCTTCCATCCCTTCTTGTGGATGAGCATCACATTGGCCAACCTCCAGTCATCTGGGACCTTCCCGATTAGCCAGGACTGATGATAAATGATGGAGAGTGGCTTAGCAAGGTCTTCCACCAGCTCCCTCAATATCCTTGGATCAATCCCATCTGGTCCCATAGACTTGTGAGTGTCTAAATGGCTCAGCAGGTCCTTTTGGATTACAGAGGTCTATTTTGCTCCCTGTCCCTGTCTACCAGCTCAGGGGACTGGTTGCCCTGAGGATAACTGTTCTTATTGTTAAAGACTGAGGCAAGGCATTAAGTACCTCAGCCTTTTCCTCATCCTTGGGGACAATGTTCCCCCTCTGCATCCAATAAAGGATAGAGATTTTTCTTGGCCCTCTTTATCTTGTTAATGAATTTATAAAAACACTTTTTATTATCTTTCACAGTGGTGGACAGATTGGGTTCTAGCTGGGCTTTCACCTTTCTAATTTTCTCTCTGCATGACCTAATGACATCCTTGTATGCTTCCTGAGTTGCCTGCCCCTTCTTCCAAAGGTCATAACCACTCTTTTTTCTTCCCTGAGTTCCTGCAAAAGCTCCCTATTCAGCCAGGACAGTCATCTTCTCCACCCGCTCGTCTTTTGGCACACAGGGATGGCCTGCTACCATGCCTTTAAGATTTCCTTCTTAAAGTATGTCCAGCCTTCCTGGACCCCTTTTTTATTAAGGACACACTTAAACATGCGTTCATGCGTACACACACACTGCAATGAAAGGCCATATTTCTAGCTTTCCTTTAAGAGACAAGATGAGCTCTTAAGATATAGCATGTGGTGTGTAACATGTTAACTGAATAGCCATGCAACATCAAACTCTTTCCTATAATCATAGGTATCAGGTTGAGACTGGACAGATTGCTGTATTTTTTTTATGGATGGTGCTCTGACTCAGAATTCTGGAAGATGCAAGGCATGAAATTAGAGCGATTTGTATTCAATAGTCTAATAAAGCTGGGTTTTATTTCATCAGCTTCTAGTGAAATTCCATTGAGCTGTATAGAATTTAACTTTTGTTAATGTCCTTGGGCTTTACATTTCAGGTTTCACATAAATTGCTATCTGAGACTGGCTTCAAATATGCCTTTAGTCTCTAAACACACTTGGGTTTGAACATCTACATCATGTCAGACACCTACACTCAAATGAGTTTGTATAGCTGTGGATATTTATTTTTCATTCCCTTGGTAGAAAAACAAAATCACTAAACAACATAACGGTTGCTTATATGATCATATTTACTAGATTTTTTTAAAAACAAAGATTTATTTATGTACCAGAGATCAATTCATAGATGTCAGAGCCTTAGGTGTCACAATAACTAAAAAAACTGAGCTGACAGTCTTCCTTTTTAATTTTTCTCTTGATCTTTAAGATGGTTCCATGGGAAGATCTCCAAACAAGAAGCTTACAATTTGCTGATGACAGGTACTTGTATTTCAGATAGAAATACAGTGGTAGTGGAATGAAACAAAGTAATCCTTTGAGACTGCAGCAAAAACTGTTGGGTTTTTTTCTGTATGAACATATGAGCATCAGATTTGTGGTTGCTACTACATTGGAAAAAAACCTCATGGCTGAGAATTGAGTATTTTTAAAAATATTTTCAAGTACAGTTAGCTTCAGAATTATAATTTAAATGTTTTTTTAATTTTTGTAGTATTTATAAATACATCTTGGCCTTCATTAACACGCTGAGGAGAAAATAGTTATTTACTTAGGGGAGAAGGTATTAAACTGTAGTCCCCTCATAGAGGGAATTATTTTAAAAATGAAAACATCAACATGTCTGACTGATACTGTCAAGTAACATAACAAAAATCTTTAGTTTTTTTAAAAACATTGTCAAAACTCCCATACACATGCCATATACTCTTGTAAAGAGGTGACAAAAGTTGGGGATAGGTTGTCAACTACAGCCAAATGATTTTGCATTAACTTTGGCAGTTTAGTACTACTTCATCACATTTGGGTGAAGAATGAGGGTCACCGTTGGAACTTACATCAGACTTTCTCATTTAAGTGTGCAATTCTTGCTAGTTTGTAGAGAGAGCTTTAATAAGAGCTCATAAATGAGACTAAGATAAGTAACAGTGAATAACACTATTATATCTTTTCAGTTGGTCAGGTGTGCAGTTTCCTTGTGAGGCCTTCAGATAATACACCTGGTGATTATTCACTTTATTTTCGGACCAGTGAAAATATTCAACGTTTTAAAATATGTCCAACATCAAGCAATCAGTTTTTGATGGGAGGCCGATATTATAATAGGTAAGTGTTAATAGTTGTGTATATTTTATATTTCTGTAAAGAACTTGTATCACATATTGCTGATAACTAACTGATATGATGTAGTGGGTCAACCCTGGCTGGGTGCCAGGCACCCACCAAAGCCACTCTCTCACTCCCCTCTGCAAATAGACAGGGGAGAGAAAATATAACGAAAGGCTCATAAGTTAAGTACCAGGAGAGATCACTCACCACATTCTGTCACGGGCAAAACAGACTCAACTTGGGGAAATTAAGTTCTTTTATTACTAACAAGATCAGAGCAGGAAAATGAGAAAATAAAGGAGACCTTAAAAACATGTTCCCCCACCCCTCCCTCCTTCCCAACTCTACCTCCTCCATTCCAGTGGTGCAGGGGTTATGGTCAGGTCATCACATCTTATTTCTGTCACTGCTCTCAAGGAGAGGAGTCCTTTCCCTGCTCCAGCATGGGGTCCCTCCCACATGAGACAGCTCTCCTTGAACTTCTTCAACAAGAGTCCTTCCCCCGAGTAACAGTTCTTCAAAAATTGCTTCAGCATGGGTCACTCTCTACAGGGTGGAGTCC